ATTGGAAGAAAGCAGATGTTATGTTGTCATTGTATATGCCATGGAAAATGCACGAAATTCTGAGTACAGGTCATTTTTACCAATCCTTTGTAGAAAACCCTGAATTGAAGTGTAATTCCTGTAATATGAATAGAGATTTCATGTAAGAAATTAAAACAAAGTGTTTTCTAGTTTTCATGGAAAAAAAAATAATCTGAAAATCTGAAAATTTTCAGATTTTTTTTTTTTTACAGAAGAGTCAGTACTCTAGATCAGTTCAGCAAAAGAATCTGAATAGTAGCATTCACTTTATACATTTCATTATTTTATCTTCCGTATGCACTATAAAACAGTTTATGCTTAACTGATTAAGTGATGTTTAGAGGAGGCTATGACAGCCTCTGTTTCAGGACTTACCAGGTGTCACTCAGATATTTCAAAGAGATGAGGATTTACTATTTTGGTTTTGCCCCTCTTCTAAGGTTTTTCACTTGCTGCTTTCACAAGTTATGTGCTTGACATTCAAATACTTCCCCTTCACACTTGACAAGTTAGATGCCTGGGGCATTTGGCATGCAGACGCAGAGCCCAGGGACAGTTGTACATTGGTAAATACAGTAGGTGTGGACATGACTTTGCAAACTGAAGCAGCTGGGGTAGAAGGCATGCAATTTGACAAGATTTTCTTCAAAGAACACGCTTTTCAAATCAGATCAAGATTGTAAATGTGAAGTGCCTACTCCTTGGCTGGGTGTTTCAGGAAAAACGCACAACACTGAGAATAGCGCAGCAGCATTACAGTAGGCTCACACCATCCTTTCGTATTTGTGGTGGTGCGTGCTCAGCTGCTGCTTGGCTTCTCTTATCCTTTTCCCCTGCTGCCTTTTTTTATCTCCTTTGTTTCTGCTCTTAATCATACCTTGCAGTCCTCTTCCCCCACTTCACCGTAGTGTTTTGCCTTTCAGCTCCAAGTTCTGTGCATCTTCTGGGCTGGATCTACGTTAGACTTAAGTATAAAGTGTTCAGTTACAGGATGCATTGTTTTTATGCAAAACATCTTAACTGCAAATGGAAGTTCACCAACCAGATGAAGAATAAAGAGGTGACTATATTAAAATTAGGAAGGCAGGAAAAGATAAAATTTTGTATTTTTCTTGCTTTCTTCCTAAAAGTTGTTTTTTTTCTTTTTTCACGTTTACCTTTAACACTGACATTTCAGAGTAGGATTTGTCAGGTTTAATTTTTAATTTAATTTTAAATTTAATTTTTTCGTTGCATTGTTTTGTGTTAACATTATTTCACTACTGGCTGCTATATGAAAGCAGAGAAAGATTTGAACTAAGGCAGCTCAGATACAGTTGTGGTTAACTGGATGGTTCAGTTCGTGATGTTGCTACTTCCAGGTTGTACAAAGTTACCTCATTAGCTATGGATAAAACAGGTCCAAAATGGCAGTATGAATGACAGTATTTTGGAGGATTTCCACTTACTTGGAGATTAAAGGCATATACATTAAGATACATGAGCTGTTAAGAAGGATGGAAAAGGGAGTTTGGTAGTTTGTTTCTTTTAAATCTCAACGTAAACTTTTTTCTGTTTTATAACTAGATACTGCCCAGATGCTGTTGTAAACAATCAGATTTATGTGCCGCTTCTGGTCTTGTTAGAAGACTGGTGCTCTCATTCTGACAAATAATGAAACAGTGGTTTGGGGGTTGTAATTTTGCTTGCTTTGTTGGCTTTTTTTGTAACTGTGATCTTTAAATGGATAGAGATCACTTCGTATTACTGTGATTATTTTGCTTCCGTTCCAGTTTATTTGATATTTTAAGGCCACCAAATCTTCTGTTTCTCAGACTTGCTAGGGAATATGTGAACTAAAGCACCAGGCATATGTTTTGGGTTCTCATTAAACGGTTTTGATTATTTCACTAGTGTGACTGTGCTGATGAAAAGGTGTTATGATTGTATCATATGCATCTGTGCTCTTCTGCAGAGATCAGCTGAAGCAGGTTCAAGTTCTTGGCTTCCTGTGTTTGGAGAAAGCTGAAAACTGATAGCAGACCAGAATGCCTTGACTTTGCTTTTCTGCATTACCAGTTTCTGCCCAAATGCTTGTCGAAATCTAATATTAGGAGCTGAAAGACTAGTGTGAAGGTAGTTCATACATGACTGAAAGTCCCATGTCGGTCTTCCCTTTGCAAGCCTTTGTCAGGCTTCCCTGCAAGCCTTCTTAAGCTTGTTTCTAATTCCCTCAAACACAGGTCTGTTGTAAACTGGAGTTTTCGCAAGTCCTTGTAGCAACAGAAATTTCCCTGAGCAACTTTGTGAATTAAATATGCATGATACTCAAAAGGGGTGGTTTTATTTTCTTGATTGGTTGGGCATAGGATTTTTGGAAAACCATTTATTACTTGCTCTTGGCAGTGATGATTCCACATGGTTCCATTTGTAGGTCTTAACTGTTCAGGTGGTAAGTGACAACACTCCTACACTGTACCGCCCTAGGTAGGAAAAAAAATGTGCAGCATTTTCACTGTTTCGGGTTTCCTTAAAATTTTCCTGTACTGCTAAATTTCATTCAAGGGAGGTGCACGGTTGGTGAACTAGGAGAATCCAGTTGGGGAAGCTGGGGAGCCAGGACTTCAGGGTGTGCTGTGTGTGGAGTACAGCATCTTTTGGAGTAGCTGGAGTGTGTGCCCCAGAACCGGGACTGGGGGATGTACCACAGAGCACCACTCAAAACACTGCCCTGCAGATGTGCAACTTGTGTGGATTGTGGAAAGAACCTAACTGCTTATGGATAGTTCCTTTTGAGGAGATTGCTACCAGGGTTGTTTAGTAGAAAACCTTGAATAGTGTGACTAACTACAAGAAGGTCTTTCCTCCTGAGAAGTGCATGTATGGGACCTTGTCAGTTGATTGGATTTATCATTTAATAGTTGCCTGTTTAACTAACTCAAGATTTTGGCCTTTGAGACACACCAAAATAAAAAAAAAATGCATGCAATGACACCTGCTGACTTGGAAATTCAAAGAACTTTCTTAAATGGTATGGTTAAGGAGGGCTTCAAAACAGGATTTAGATTTCTTTGCAGAGGAAAAAATGAAAGGAAGTTACTTCAGACTACTGTATTTTATTGGGGGAGAGAAATTAATAGCTTAGTGTTAGTTGGGTTTTTTTTCTTTTTCCAGTTCCTTATAAATCTCCCCCTCCATTTTTCAATCTGCTCTCTCCTGGCAGAGTGCCATAGTTGAAAATACACATCGTTGACTCGGAAGATTATCAAGTTGGAATGAAATTCCTCTTGATTTCATGCTAATCAAGTAATCATTGATTATTTGAATGTGCCTTTTATTTTAAGCTTCAAGTGGGTAAATCAGCTCATCATACTAAGAAAACTGAAGCTGGAAAGTCTTTGAAATAAAAATCACTCAACAGAAGAATGGTTAATGGTTAATAAGCATGAGAGATGTTTCTCTGTGTAGAGCAAAGATAAAATCCCTGTAGAGGTCTCTTCTATCACCTGTGCACATAAGTAGCTAGATATTTCTTACTCAAATGGTGTGTCATGTAGGTTATTAGCAGAATTTCATCAGTGGCAGCATTAGAACTTAAGGCAAGAAGAAATCAGGTTATAATAATGCATAATGAAGAGATCAGTCATGTCAGGCTCTCCAAATTCAGTGACCAATTATTTGGACACAGCTTTTGTTTACATTTAGTAATCATATGATACCTTTTTTCCCTCTCCTCAATGCCTTGCCTGTGTGAGAATTGTCTTTAGGACCTCCCTAAAGGCCTATTTTTTACCCAAATGAAAGGTCATGGAGCAGATAATCTCGATGCTTAGGCTTTTTCATCTGTCCCCATCTGACTACACAGAAAAAAATCTCTAATCTCCCTAGGATTTATCATGTTGGCATTTGTACAAGCCATGTGGGACCGATAACTTACACTTTTTTCCATGTTAATTGTTCAGAGATTTTTATAATTATCTTGCTTTCCTAACCCTTTCTCTGTCCTAAGGAACCTGGTTTACTCTAATCCATAAATCAGTAGCAGTGCAGTCCAACAATTGATGATCGTCTCTTCTACAAAACCAAAAAAACCCCTAATTTTTGCAGCAAGTTTAAGGAACTAGAAATAGACGTAATTCAAGATTTTTTTTCTACAAAGTATATTTAAAAACACAGAAGTATATAGGATGTCCTCCAGTATTTTTTTCATCACTTAAAGGAAAATGTTGGTGGTGGTCCCTCCAGTCTGAACAGCTAAAGGACAGCAATTGATCCAGAAGATAAGCCTTGTTTGATGGTCCTCTAGGGGTTTTTGTAACATTTAACCTTGACAGTAGCTTAAAAGATCACCTTATGCTCTCTAAAGAGATGGTTACAAATGGCTTCATATTTAGAGTAACAGAATGCTAGAATTTGTGGTAATGGATACAGTAATGAAATTACTTTAAAAAGCTGGATACACTTAGAGTTTTCTGATGGCTTTTGATGATGTATTTTGTAAGCATTACAGGTTCCTGTGTAGCTTTCCCTTTTTCTTATTGTGAAGTTAATTTCTTCATAGGCACATAGGCCGAGCTGTCTCAAAATAAGTAATATATTGTCCTGGTGATTGTTCTGTTAAAAAGTTACACTACTATAGAAGAAAGCACAGATTACAACCGGATTAAAATACTGAGAGTCATAATTGAAAGATACTCTGTAACACCAAATTGTTATTTATTTACCTGTAAAATAACAATATGCTACTGGTCATAAGGTGTTTTTTTTACTCCTTGCAAAGCTAAAACACTTTAATATTTGATACCACGCTACAGTCATTTGGTTATTGCCAGTTTTGCAAGTCCTGGGAAACTTGTCTGAAACTTCTTACTCCTGCTCATTTCATCAGTTCCTTTGTAATCAATTCTGAGGCTTCTCTTTCTCAATGCTTAATTTGTATCCCTTTTCCACCTGTGTTCCCTGGATTTGCTTTTGCAAAATGAAGGAGTTTTGTCTTTCAGAGCGGGAAGGTCACAGGAAGCGATTCAGGAGGTGTCATTGATCTTACGCTGGATGAAGAGGATGATGGCTCTTCTCAAGGTAGGTGAAAAAGATTTTGCTAGCTGCAGGGGTAATTGAGCTACAAGTATTGTTTCATCCCTTGAATGACAGGTCTCTAGAGGCGTGCCTCTGCACTACATTCTGATGTTCAGCCACCAAGAAGTTTTGATTTTTCTAGACAACCTCAGTAGCTATCTCTCTAGTTGGTGCGTTCAAGTTCTACATGTACGTTCTCAATATTTTGACTTGCTCTGTATTTGTATTACACAAATGTAGAAAAACATACTGGGGTGTGGTGGCATTGCTTTCGGTGAGGGAGAAATGTAACGTTACCACCAAAAGGAGTTCATGGTATGTAAGTATTAGAGAAGCATTATGCAATTCAGATAGCTAACAGTCTGTTTCTTTTATCAGCAGAGGATGTATGGTGGACACTGAACTGAGTATGAGCCAACAGTGTGTTCTCATTTAAATTTCAGTTATTATTTCCCCCCACATTGACACTGGTGGGACCACACCTGAAATACGGTGTCAAGCTTTTGCTCCCCCTTCCTTGAGTTCAGAAGAGTTGTGCTAGCAGTGGAGAGGGCCAAATAGGTGGTGTCAGGATGGTGGGGGCCCACAATATGTGACCAGTGGGAAGAGATCGGCATCCCATGGCATGTTTGGCAACCTGCAAACTGAGAGACAACGCAATAGCAGCCTGCAACCACTTAGTTACAAAGATGATGGAGCACAACTCTTCTCAGCAATGCCAGGTGATCTATCAAGGGGCAGTGGCAGTTCAGGAGGTTCAGGTTGAGCTTGAGGTGAAAAGAAATCACAGTAGGAAGGTGGTGCAGCACAGAGGGATGGCAGAAACTCCACTGCTGAATGTTCTCAAGATTCACTAGGGCAAAACTGCAACTCATTTGACTTAGTGTTGGTGGCAGTCCAGCTACCACAAGAGGTTGGACTGCACGGCTACTGTGGTCTTTACAAGCCAGGATCTTGATGATTCTGTGAATTGCTTAGCCAAGTGTCAGAATAGCGTAGGGAATCAAGCTTTTACCACTGTCATCTCTTCTGAGGGTAAGATCTCAAAAAGATAAAAAAGATGGTTGCACTTGGACTGTGGAACTCTGTCAGGTAAGGTTAAGCTACCCAGTCCTATTTAATGTTCTGTAAAAGACTCGGATTTATGGTGTGTTTTAAAGTAGCATGTCACAGTATTGTAATGTATTTCAGCTAATCTTTTTCAATCGAAAGTAACATTTTTCAGAGAGGTTTTTCTTTCCTGATTGCATAAAGTATGTCTTCACCTCACCATAACCATAAAAGATGAACGCCATGGTTGCATGTGCAACTATAAAAATGCGTCCCTAAGTACATTCAGGCTGGGTTAGCTCCTGTGTGTCTCTTCATGGCAAAGCAGAAGCTGGACTCTCACTGCTTGTCTGCAGCCTTGCAGATGAGTTTCTGTTTAGAGTTTGTGTGAGGAGTCAGTATTTTTCATATAAGCTGTAGCAATGTATGGACTAAAACCCTAATAAAAGCTTGAGTTTCACCATGCAGTGACAACACATCTCTAGAATTTTGAGCAAGTTTCTTGGGAAATAATTCACATGTTCTGATAATAACATTGAGGTTAAACAAAGGAAAAGTATGCTTCTGATGGCTTTCGCATAATCGTAAGCATGCATATACCTTTGGCCAAATATTTTTTTTCCTCTGAACTTTGTTTACAGCGAATGTGGAGCAGGTTTTATTTTGTTTTAGATTTATTGGTACACAACCTCACGTACACAAAGTACCTCCAGTGTTACAGTGTTTACTGCAGTGTGCTGGAATGTCAGTTCAGTAGTAATTCAGGTAGAAGAGCAACACCTATATAGTGTTCCCAAGAACACTTCAGATCCTGCTTCTTTTGTTTAAAGCTCTGTCACCCGCATACAAAATAAACCTAATTCTGTTACTTATAAAAGGTATTTAAGTAGATGTTAATGTCTGGAGAGAGATGTCTCATCATGTGCTTCCCTTTAAATCTTTCCTGGTACAACTAGGAAACAAAGTTGTGCTGTTTTGGTGGCACACAGTAACAATGTATGTCCGTGTTGGTTGAAATTACTAAAGATGCAGGTTGAGAGTAAATTTTAACGTTGTGGTAGATATTTAAACTTGTTCATGTAATGTACTCTCTATCCTTTCCTTTTTCCAATGAAGTTTCCATTTGGATAAATAATTAAAATTGGTATCAGTAATACTGTATACCAAAGTGTGCATATAGGGTAAATTAGACTTAAACTTTGCTTTGTTTTGTGAAGTTATTAAACTGAAATCGGAGTTTCTGTATTGGGTCATGGAAGAGCAGACCTGTATAGACTGTCATCAAGCCCAGTCTTCAGTCATGGTAGACAGACAAAACCTTGTGCGTTATTTTTAAGGTCTAATTGTGGTTTTGAGAGTAGGGGATTTTTGTTTGGGTTTTTTGGGGGGTGAGGTTTGGTTTGTTTTTTTTTTTTATAGTGACCAGGGCCTCTAATCATGTGCTTGAGGCTCTGGGTTTGAACACAATACTCCTACAAAACAGAGTAGCTGTCCTTCAACAGCAATTGGTTTGGCATTTTGAAACCCCACTCCTCTATTAACACAGAAATACGTGTCTCTAACTTCCAACTCCTTTTTTTATATGCAGCAGTTTGCGTTCAAATAGTGCTTCATGGGGGCCGCGGGGGAGTATAACCATCACACTGTGGAAACACTCACCCAATACAGCCTAGATTTGTATTTCCTCTCTTCTTCACTTCATCAGCGAAGCAACACGCAGACATTCTGTAATCAACAACATATGCAGGTTTTCCTGATCATCTTCACTACCCCAAACATAATTTCCCACATTAGAAGTTCTTATCAATTCCTAAATGGCTGATGTCTCTCTGCTGTCATCTTCTTATTTTCTAATGCTCAAGTCTTAGCTTTGTTCCTGTGTAATGTTTTGGTCCACCCCCATACTGGTAGCATCGTAGTACACTGCCAACTAAATTTAGTGTACACCTTCTGATGTGTACAAAAATTATTAATGAAAATGTTGCGTAACGTTTGAGAAACCATGTTGTTAACTTCTGTTCAGAACAATTGTTGTCATCCTTTTATCAAAGAGTACTCTAGATAGTTTTCTGTCTGCAAGTATCTTGCAATACTTGTACAGTCCCTTTTATTAAATATTTGTGCAGCGTACTGCATCAAATTATTTCGTAAAAATATTAAAACAACTAATAGATTTAGTTGATACCTATCACTAGTCTAAAGTGGATTTGTAATCTGGGAAAGATACAGAAATGTCCTCTCAAAACCAGCCATGTTCCTTTTTTTTTTTTTTTGCATTTATCTTTTTGTTGGAAAAAATATTAAATACATACAGTATCAATTTTTAATTTATAAGCTGGTTGATAAGCAAATCTGTAGTTTTCTGGATCATTTTTTGTCTTATTCTTGAACATGCATATGGTATGTTTGCTATTGTGTATTCCCATTATACCACTTCTGAATTAGTATGCTGATAAAAACTCCCTCCTGCTATAACTGTAGTATTGTAGGCCCATTTTCTTGCCTGGAAATTAGCCCCTCTTCTTCACAATTTTGTGTATTAGATTTGCAGTTTTGCTTACGCCTCCAGTAGTAATGATTTCCATTTTATGCTCATTTCCATAAATCAGATTGTCCTGTCTCATCCAGTACCACATTTTTAATGACTATGATGGTGTGCTCATTTAGCATTGGAACTGTTCCTGTATTACTTTTAACCTTAGTCCTGTGCTTACTATGCCCCCAGTCTTCCTGTTTTCCTTGTTGAATTTTTACTTACATAGCTAAATTAGCCTTTGCTATTTGTTTCCATTTATTCAGTGAAGTCTAGTTGGTTATCTTGAGTCATTTCCTGTTGCTGGTACAATCCTGACCTAGTTTCCAGCAACTGGAATCTCTGCAGGGCTCTTTATTTGTCAGGGACAAATGAACTTGTTTCTGTGTGAGATTAAAAACGTAAGCAAAACCAAAAAAAGCCTTCACATTTGTCCAGAATGTCATTTTCGCTTGAACTACGTTTTCACAGCAGTATTGTGTCTGGGTTCTTAATAGTTGCTTCATGAACACATCTTCTCTAGGTCATGACTGAGAATGCACTTGCATCACTGCCAATGGCAGTTGCAATGTGCATCAATCTGTCAAAGTAAATGGGTGCATGCATCTCTGTAGGAATCTCTTCAGAGTCAAATAATTTGTTGGAACACTGGGAAATGTCTCATACTCAAGGAAAATAAAAGGAGCTTTAACTAATCACAAGACCTGTTGATGAAAGAGCAGGAAATATCTCCCCTTTTTGTTTTCAAAATGAGCATCGTTTTACTGCTCCTTTTATAGGCTTTGAAAAAAGAAAGAAAAGAAAATTACGTTTTTATCAAAATGGTTTCAGTGAAGTAGCTCAGCTGTTCAGTCTAGGGAACAGTATGGTCTGCAATTTATATCATATTTTAATTTTGAGGTCTTGAATGGTATTTAATTTATCATAGCAGTTTGTGAAGGGTATTGCTACTTCAAGCTATTAGTACGTGGTGTTAAAGACAGCTCGATGAGACCATCAGAATCGTCTCCAATTGGTAAAAACGCCAACGTTTTGCGCTACACTGCCATTAACCCCGTTCTTAATGCTTTGAAATCTAGTTAGTACATTTAATTCATAGTTTCTAAATGTGTTCTTCAATATATTGTTGATATGTTTTCTCAAGAGTAAAATACAGATTAACATATTTTTTAACGTATTTTGGCTGCTGCACGTGCAATTTTATTAGGGCAAATATTTTTTTAAAAACCTACTCTTTTGTCTTGTGTTTTGTAGTTTTTGGTGGTGCCTTCTCTGCCCACTACTACTCTACCGTGTTAGAAAGCAACTTAAATTCTCTTTTTAAAGTTTTCTATAAATAATTAAGTGATTCCCCTTTTTTAAGAAAATGGCATGAAAATTCAAAACAGCAACAAACAGGGCTGACTAACAGACTGAACAAAGGAAAGAGTCAGCAAATAACAAATGGAAGTAAGCATCAAAGGTAGACAAGATTTATTTAGGGAGCTCTGTGACTTTTTTTGGAACAAATTGAGTACAGCAGTGTTTAGGCCTTTAAGGTTTTAAACTATTCTTTTTTTTTTAACAGAAACTTTTAAAGACTTTGACATAGTGTTCCATTAAATTCAGGTTTCCAAATTATGCTGAAATACACAGACTTGGTGATGAGAGAATGAAACGTTATGGAGGATGAGGGCAAAATATTGGAATGATTAAAGCAAGGGGAATTGAATGAATTTTCTACAGTTTTCTATGCAGAATGAAAAGATCAAAGAAATGTCATGCTAGGAAATATTCTTTGCTAATCTGTGAATGATGGGGGGAAAAACGATTTTAAAATTCTGCGATGCTCTTATTTCTGTTTGCTATTGTCTATAACTTTATTTTGCTTTAAAGCAGATGTCAAGAAGCAGAACCAGACACCTGTTACAGGATTGAGCATAACCACCCAGCCCTTGGCTCGCCCCTTGCAGCCTTTGCAGCCAAACCCTGTGCAGCAGACAGGTGTGCCAACAAGTGGACCTTCCCAGACCACCATACATGTATTACCTACAGGTACCTTCATTTGACAACGTTATGTGAATGCAATGACTGCTTTTTTTTTTTCTTTCTTTCTTAAACTAGACTCTTGTGTGCTCTACATTGTGCTAATCCTTTCAGGTGAATATTCAGAATATTTGACTCACCTTTTAATCTTCCATTCTAGTCAGTTTCCCATAACTTTTTTCTTTTTTTTTTTTTTTTTTCAAATGATGAAGTGAAAGGGAAAGATAGTCCTGTTGGTTTGGAAACAATTCAGGATCAAATTAATTCCATGGAGAGGAAGAAATCCTGCTAGGGATGGTCATGGAAATTATTAAACAGACTGTTGTTTGTAAAAGTGAAGGAGAATTAAACCGTAGCAGTTGTATTCTTTATGGGGACAAAACATTAGCAACATTGCTCCTAGCTCTATCCACCTGCACGTGGCAGTTAATCCTTTCGCAGAGTGAATGGCAAGGCTGACATTGAAGTTCCATCCCTAGTTAAATGTTATTTAGTCTGCAGTGTGATATTTTTTTTTCCTTTCTAACTTAAAGGAAGATAGATTCTCTTTTTTTCTTTATTTTACTGTCGTCTTCTGTAGATGATTGTTGAAGGTTGGCATTGGAATTGTCTTATGACTGATCTGTTCTACAGACTTTTTGGTGGTGGGTTTTATATTCTCCACAGCTGTGCTTACATTCAGGACCTTTTTCTTTTCTTCTTTTTTTTTTTATTGTGTGTGTGAGCATTACATTTATCTCTTCTGTTTGGAATTTGTATATATATTGGCATTACTGTTTCAGGTGAAAATTACTGTTTGTTTAGGCTGTTTCTCTTTTCTTGCATTATTAAAAGCAGATAGAATTTCATGGAGATGGTTTTCATTTTGCACGGCTCAGATGAGTCAGTTTTCCAAAGGAGGTGTGTACCCTGGAATAGGCATATCAGCTTAACATCGTGGAATTCCGTTCTAGGTTGTGGTCTGTCTGTCTTTTTCTAGCTCCGACAACAGTGAATGTAACTCATCGGCCAGTGACTCAAACTGCTGCAAAACTTCCGATACCAAGAGCCCCTGCTAACCATCAGGTGGTCTATACCACTCTTCCTGCACCACCAGCTCAGACTCCTGTCAGAGGGGCTGTCATGCCAAGCCCAGGTTTAAGGCCAGTCAACCCACAGACTGGAGGTAGGGGACGCTTCCTCCATGCACATTTTAGTACAATACAGCTTGATGTGTTCTACCTGATGGATGTGGGGTTTGGTTTTTTGTTTCGGGTTTGTTGTTTGGGGGGAGGGGAAGGGGCGGTTGTTTGGTTGTTTGTTAGTTTTTTTACAATACTAATCTAAATTACAGAGGTTAGGGGCTTTTTCCGTCTTACAAACATGAGAAAATGCCAGGCTATTTAGAAATTATTCCCCTCCAGCTATGTGAATGAGGAAAAATTTGATTTAAGTCTTCTCAGGCACTAGCTCTGGCAGTTAAGCATCTCTGGATGACGTGCCCAGTACTTTACAAGGTAGCGGAAGGTAATGTCATGAGCACCACTGTTTTGCAGAAAGACAGTTAGAAGAGACCATTTTGTTATTATGGAGTGAGATTAAAACATGTATGTATGTAGTAAATTGTGTTTGATTTCCTGTTTAAAAGTTACATTTATGTCAGGCATCCTAATGCACCTTAACAATATCTGATGTCTTGTGCCCAGCAAATTTTCTTATTTTCTCTAGGCCTGGACAGTTGAAATTTTTCACCAAATGTATCAGAAATTGATGCATGATTGAGTTTTGTTGACTAGAGGGATCAACAAGTTCATCTTGACTTTGCAAACATGTAGCTGGCATCTTCCCATAACAGTAAACTCATTTTCTGAAATGAGTGCTAAATGTTAAAAATAAAGACCTTAATTATATTTTGTTACAAAGTGGTGGATCTTAACTGCCTTTATTCAGCTCCCCACAATTTCTGTGCTATGGTTATTTTAACAGTTATGTTAAACATAAATTGCGGTGTTCTAGTGTGCTGAGCCTGAGCCTACTTTTGTGACATCCAGGTAGTGATTTTTTAGAGACTGCGTGTATAAGCCAAACTTGGAATGCTGCGTGCTTGAGCCATGTAAGACTATCTCTGTAGGTTTGTGCAGAAATAATTGTTTCATTGTTCTGAAATGATAGTTCTTGGAAAGCAGAATATCCATGTATGTTTGTAGCAATTTAATTCTAAGTGTCTCTTCTGACTGGATTCAGCTGCATTACCATAGGCTGTGAAAAATCAGCTGTGCTACCTAAACAGGACTTGATCAGACAGTCCTTGGATGATCTCTATGAAATGTCAGGATGTGAGGAAATTGTTGTTCTTTCCAGAGTACTTGTTCATATTTCTTAAACTTCTTACACTCTTGTGCCACATGCATTTGAGTTCAGGTTCTTCTGACCGGCAGTATCTTTTGAGGGGCATGTCTGCATCTTGCGTTGCGGTTGGCAAAAGGCCATAAAAGGCGCCGTAACCTCAGCCCACCCTTAGTTTTCTTCATCATTACCTTTAGCTACAAAGTTAGACGTGTGTGATCTACCTGTTGGTTTGGAAGGAGTTTTGAGTACTTAACCGTGCATTCTCTTATGTTAATTATTTTTAATAGTATTTTCTTCTTTTGTACCAAAATACATGGTTTTGTCAGAATCTAACACTTCTTAGAGCAGTTGTTATGACTAAATACACATGACTAGTATCTACAGAATACCTTTCAGTGTTAGACATGCAAGATAATTAATGTGCTGCTGAAGAACATGTAATTGGTAATATGCTATTTTAAGGCCTTTTCTAGGAGAACCCGATGAGGTAGGGAATTCATGGTTTTTTGGGCGAGGTCATCCAAACAACAGATCTCTGTGTAATGTGCTTCTGACCTGGTGGTCCAGTGATGTTATGAATACTTATCCTTCTGTTGTCTGCTTAGAAATTCTCAGGAATCAAGGCAGGTTTCCGCCAACATAATTAAGATTCAGCTTGACCAGACCCTAAATAACCTAACGTAAGAGCATTCTTTCAACAGAAGGTTGGGACAGATCATCTCGAGAGTTCCCTTCAAACCTGGACTTTTCTGTGATTCTGTTAGAGGCAGTTGGGTTACTCTGGCTTGAAAAGTATGTCTGTGTATTATACAGCACTGTTGTCTGACAAGCTGCATAAGACGTAAGAAAATGACGGTTCTGCTATAACGTTGTGCATTCCCTGTACCTCAGGACCAGGAAGCCAGATGGTTAGCCTGAGTAGAAAAAAGACCAATTTAGTTAGAATACAGGTTATTTCAGGGCTTCATATCTGCATACCAGGTAGAGAAGTTTCATGTATTGCTAACAAAAAAGCAATCGTGTTTCTTGATCCCTTTTAGCTGTCATGAGGCCATTCTACATTTTTCACCATCTTTGTTACACAGTTTTCAGAAATGCTGCTACTGGTGTGTATTCATTTATATTATCATTGAAACAGTCTTTAGTGTCAGTAGCAGATGTTCCAGGACTAAGATCTCTGCACTTTGTCTCTGAAGATTAACTGTGAGAACTCATCAAAAGCATTTTGCAAATTGTAGTTTTGTACTTCTACCTCAGCCAAGTAATACACCTACCTAGAAGTAATGCAGAATTTGTACCGTATATCTTAAGGCATTTCTGTCCATCTTTCTTCAGATTATTGTCTTGAGATAGAGTCACAGTCATGCTAAAACAGCGTATCTGATTAGATTCTCGTAGATGAGAAATAGCCAGTTCAGGTGACTGTTTATCCTACAGGAGTTTGCACAGCTTCATTATTTTCTTAGATAGATGTGCCACTAGGAAAAAGATGTGAAGCAGTTACTTAGAGTTCAGCACTTTATAATCAAAGCATTAAGATTTAGCATTCTGAACTCCCTGCTTCAGACTCTCGGATTACATAGATTTCTGACACTCATCACTTATGATCATAGCTTGATGACTATATGGAGAAGAAATTTCCGTACAATAGCTGTGGTTTCCTGACAAGTGCGTGTCGCTCTGCAAGCTTCTATTCTGGAGTATTAGAATGCTTTGATCTCATGCAAGTGTGGAACTAGGGGGTGACGGAGCTTGCCCCAAATCTCATATTTCTAGACAGAAATAGAGACACCTTAGGCAACCCATAACAATGAGCAAAAGCTCCGAGCTCACAGAACATACGTGTTCCAACAGTAAACTGCCAAAATGTTACTTAAGAGAGTGAGATGTAGTATAAAATGAACGAAAACACGGTAGTTTGCAAGAGTTTCTGGATATTATCTACCAGACTATAAAATTACCTGGTTTATTCCTCGTAGTCAGGTCAGTTTGCTGTGGGAATGAATGAAATGGTAATGCCTGTGAGTAACATCCATTGGGGTGTCTGTTCTGTGAGGGAGGACAAGCTTCTTGGACAGTGACTTATCTTTTTGGTTTTGGTGCCATCCACAGCACAGCGTTCTGGTATTTGAATACTGAGCGGATACCATTCTGCTGTAGCAGCATTTATCTTTTCCTTTCTGAATCCCAAAGTGATGTAATGTTTCTTTTCATACTTAAGCTCCCCGTATCTTGCACGCTTCCCCTTCCCACCCATTTCTTTCATGATACAAATTACTAAACAACATTCTGTCCCCTCTGCAGACATAAGCACTTGCTCACTTTCACTTGTACAGCTTCAGGGGATGGGAGGTGGTTTTGTTGTTGTGCAGTACTTCATCAGTCTGCTGGCAGTTTGAAATTTGATGTCATCCAGCTGAACCGAGGACTTGGTCTTCCAGTGTTCTGTTTAGCTGATTTTAAGTATTGAATACTCAAAGTATTCACTGTGCTTCTTATAGGTATGACAGTACGAATGCCTCAAACAACTGCATATGTTATGAACAACGGCCTAACTCTTGGATCTGGAGCACCTCAGCTTACAGTGCATCATCGACCACCACAAGTGCACACTGTGAGTAGTCATTTTGAAATTACTTAATGCAATTTACAGGCTTGTCTCTGCATTAATGTCTTTCAGATTGCTTCTTAGTGTGAACTGCAGAATAGTGAAATGTGTTATAGACGCTTTGCAGCCAGTTCACATGCGTAGCACCGCCCTGTCACCCACAGGAACTTCTGCCACGAATGGTAAAAGCTGTGCAATCTGTTAGCTTGCCCCAGAGTTCTCCAGGTCACCAGTAGCACATATTGAAAAACAGTGCGTTAATCGTCTGCAGGTGACTTGTGGAGTCAAGGGAAGAACTGCCACTAAAAAGTTTAGTCATGGTTTGGCTACAGATTGCATGACCAGTTTGTCAGTATAGCTGTTTGCAAACCCAAATGTCCTGGTTTCAGCTGAGATAGAGTTAATTTTCTTTCTCCTAGCTGCTGTGTTATCAACATTACTTGCATAGTAAATCGAGAACACATACTATTTTAATTGTTGCTAAGTAATGTTTATATCAGTCAAAGACTTTTTCAGCTTCCCATAGAAGCTGAGAGAGAACATAGACAGGAGAAGCTGGCCAAAGGAATACTCCATACCATAGGCATCGTGCTCAGTATATAAATGGGGGTTGGCCAGGGGACAGGGTTCTGCAATCACTGCTCGCAGCAGGTAAAGTGAGAGCAAATTGTGTTGTATCACTTTATTGTGTATATTCTTTTACTATTATTATCATCCTCTTCCTCCTCTTCTGTTACTGTCTTATTAAACTGTCTTTATCTCAACCCACAAGGGTTTTTTCCCCCCTCTTCTTTTCACCTTCTTTTCCCTACCCTACTCAGGGGGTGGGGGTGAGCAAGCGAGTGGCTGCATGGTCCTAGTTGCCAACTAGTGTTAAACCACAACACTGAGGTAGACAGACAAGATCCTCAAGGTTCCCAACTCCCAAATTTCAGAGAGGGTTTTTTATCACTGTTGAGAGTGATTACTTCTCCATCACCTCAAGCCCCTTTTCGTAAATATTTGAGAATTTACGCTAACTCATTTCATAGAATCATAGAATAGTTTGGGTTGGAAGGGATATTTAAAGTTCATCTGGTCCAACCCTCCTGCAGCGAGCAGGGACATCTTCAACTAGATCAGGTTGCTTAGAGCCCCATCCAGCCTGAGCTTGAATGTTTCCACGATGGAGCATCTGCCACCTCTGGGCAACCTGTGCCAGTGTTCCAACCACCCTCATCATCAAATTTCTTCCTGATACCTAGTCTAAATCTACCATCTTTTAGTTTAAAACTATTAAACTATTAAATAGTTTAATAGTTTTAAACTATTTAAAACTATTACGTCTTGTCCTATTGCAATAGGGCCAGCTAAAAAGTTTGTCCCCATATTTCTTATAAGCCTCCTTTAAGTATTGAAAGGCCACAATAAGGTCTCCCCAGAGCCTTCTCTTCTCCAGGCTGAACAACCCCAACTCTCTCAGCCTGTCCTCATAGGAGAGGTGCTCCAGCCCTCTGATCATCTTCGTGGCCTTCCTCTGGACCCACTCCAGCAGGTCCATATATTTCCTGTACTGAGGGCTCCAGAGCTGGACATGTTTCATATGGTTTTGTTGTTGAGGCTGAACCAAATACGTTGCCTGCATACTCACTGTTGGGCAGTCGCATCGCTTGTGATGTCCTGAAATGGTAAATATATTGCCAACAAGATGGCTCACCATTCTTTCAATGTAGACACCATTCAACTTCATACATCATTCTCCAGTGATAAACAATGAGATTAAATCAAGCCGGTGTCACACAGAACACTTAAGATGACAAAAACTACCCCAGATTCCAACCTGAAAGGCCCCTGGCTGGAACAAAATTTCATACTTACTGTAGCTACATTCCTAAATTCATCTTAACGAACATAAATGAGAGACCTAGGACTGTTTCTGTGGTATATATAAAAAAAAAAAAAAAAAAAATCAATAGAAAGCTACATTTGTGCCCTTAGTTCAAAATTTTCTGGAAACTGAGTTTTTGTGATCAATTTAAGGTGATAAAAATCCATGTGGCACCATTACTCATTCTTCCTTTTGTGACTGAAAACCTGCCTGTTGAAAGGATGATGAGTTGTCGTCTTAATCCACTGCCTGGCCTGTTTTGGGTGATGTGGGAACAGTAGCCAGAATGTAGATTAAAAGTCATTGTGAACCTGCCTGCTCAGTCTTGGTAAAGGGCACAGTGTTCAGTCCATCACCTCTTGGGTGGGAGGCAAAGAGGATATAGGGAAATAACTGTGGCAGTGATCATCTGTACAGCTAGGGATTTATATGCAAGTAATAAGAACTTATCATAGAATCATAGAACAGTTTAGGTTGGAAGGGCCCTTGAAGCTCATCCAGTTCCACCCCCCCTGCCGTGGGCAGGGACACCTCCCACTAGACCAGGTTGCCCAAGGCCCTGTCCAACCTGGCCTTGAACACTTAGAGGGAGGGGGCATCCACAACTTCTCTGGGCAACCTGTGCCAGTGCCTCACCACCCTCAAAGTGAACAATTTCTTCCTAATATCTAATCTAAATCTACCTTCTTCCAGTTTGAAGCCATTCCCCCTTGTCCTATCACTACATGCCCTTGTAAAAAGTCCTCCCCAGCTTTCCTGTAGGCCCCTTTAGGTACTGGAAAGCCCCTATAAGTTCTCGCTGAAGCCTTCTCTTCTCCAGGCTGAACAACCCCAACTCTCTCAGCCTCTCCTCATAGGAGAGGTGCTCCAGCCCTCTGATTGTCTTCGTGGCCCTCCTCTGGACCCGCTCCAACAGGTCCATATCTTTCCTATGTTGGGGGCTCCAGAGCTGGATGCGTTACTCCAGGTGGGGTCTCACCAGAGCAGAGTAGCAAGGCGAAATTACCTCCCTTGACCTGCTGGCCCCACTTACGGCATCCTTGGTCCCACCCCTTCTCAACCTTTGTTACTGCTCTCTTGCCTGCGCCCTCGCCGCACGCAGGACTTAGAGTTGTGAATGCTGGGTGATTGCAGTCTCATTTGCTTCCATTTGCCTGGTGCATGATGACTTAAAGCCTCCTTCCACTGCTGCAGACTCTGACCTTCACCTCATTGCTCTTGCATTTCTCAGGAGCCACCACGCCCTATACATCCTGCCCCACTCCCGGAGGCGCCACAGCCACCACGTCTGCCCCCTGAAGCTGCCAACACTTCTCTGCCTCAAAAGCCACAGCTGAAGCTGGCACGGGTACAGAGCCAGAATGGTATTGTGCTGTCATGGAGTGTCATGGAGGTGGACCGGAGCTGTGCCACTGTGGACAGTTACCATCTCTACGCCTACCACGAGGACCCGAGTGCCACGATGCCCTCGCAGTGGAAGAAGATCGGGGAGGTGAAGGCCCTCCCACTACCTATGGCATGCACTCTTACGCAGTTTGTGTCTGGTAGCAAATACTACTTTGCGGTCCGGGCTAAGGACATCTATGGACGTTTCGGACCCTTCTGTGACCCCCAGTCCACAGATGTGATCTCTTCCCAGAGCAGTTAAACAGAGATCTTTGGAGCCTTTAAACTTGTCCTACTACCAAGAATTACCCCAATTTTGGAGGGTTGATACCATGCATGAAATTCACTTTTAAATCCACTCTCTGCAGGATTATTTTAGACAGTTGTGTGATACACTACTTGCATTCAGAACCAAAAGAAAAATAAAGTGTCACCTGCAGCAAGAGAGCCTGGTTTTTCTGGATAGCTCAAGTCATGGGCCCTTTGAAAATTTAACATGACAGCTGTTCCACCCAGATACCTACCCACCCTTTATCCAAGGGCACCCTGGATGCCTGGGATTCTGCTTCAGAGTGGGAACAAAATCATAAATTACAGTTTGTCTGAAGCAAAGCACACACATCTGTAATATCTATCGAGGCACCAACACGAGGGCAAGAACAGATTTGCCTCCTGCCCCCCACCGCTCTGTGAGCAGGCTGTGACACGAGGGGTGATTCAAGGTCTCGCCTTTGTACTGGAAGATTGAGTGGTCTGGTCTTATTTTACAAACTCTAACGAGCTCTCTGAGGGGAGGGAAGGGAACTTGAGTCTGGCCAGGGAACCAAGATTTGTGTAAATTCGGAGGTGGTGGGAAAAACAAATGAAAATCACCCCGCTACCTCCTGCCTCTCCTAACTAAGAACGCTCCTCCACCTTCACCACCCTCCCCTGCTCACATGGGGAGCATTCCGAGGTCAGGTCTGAAACTGGATTGCAGAGACTGCATTCACACCTCTCTAGCTCAGATAATTTCTCTGCCCCTCCCCTCATACATCCAGCCCTGTTTTTTAGATTTATTTTGTGCCTTAAAGAATAATTTCAGAAATAAATGTAGCCAGATACCTTGTGGTGTTCTTTTATTTGCTTGGGAGTTATTTTTCCCTTTACCCTTCTAGCCTTTCAGTACTGCTTCTCATTTTCCTGGCCTGCAGTAAGGATTATTTCTGTAAAGACCAGGAAGTGTTACGTCTGCTGATGCTGGATTTGTTTTTCTCTGCAGTATCATTCAACCCTTTCCTCACTGTAATTCTTGAGTAGTTGTTTTTGTCCTGTCAAGAGTTTATTAAGAGTATACAGACAGTATTTTCCACCAGAGCCTTTCCCTGTTCTTTTGGGAAAGCTGTATGCTGCAGTTCAGCCAAAGAAGAAACCTCTGTGGTGTGGCACCATGAAAGCTTCCAGCTGGTTGCGCTCAGTTTGGGTGTTCAGTTAGTGCAAAAAGAGAGGAATTTGGCTTCCCAGTCCTCTTCTCTGTCTCGTCCCCTGCCTGCCTCTGCAGAAAGCGAACACACCTGAAGCGGTTTAGAAACGATTTTAGACGCTGGCCTCAAACTTGGGAGCAACTGCAAACGTTCATAGATGCTTTCATGATGCTTCTGAGCTGAGAAGAGAAATCGGTACGTCTGACCCACGGTTGTTGATGTGTTAAACTTGCTTTTTGCATAACCAAATTGTAACACAACTGGACAAGAAAGTCTATGTAAGGTTTTTATTTTTGCACTTTTCAGTCTCATTCCTGCCCAGCAGAACCAAACTGGATTTAGAAGGGAAGGAGTCTTTTTTTTTTTTTTTTTTTTTTTTCCCCCATCTCCTTCACCATGTAGAAAAGCTTTAAAGCTGTAGAAGATACCGGTTTTTAATTTCAATGCTCTTTTTCTCAAAACCAACATTTTTAAATGTAAAGCAAGGTTGAAAAGGGCAGGAAAAAAAATCCCAAAACATGGCTGGTGAACATGCTATGAGATTATGGGTTCCTTTAGTTGTGTCCCCTTTGAGAACTTCTTATTGGTGAAAGAAACTGCATTGTAGCCTTCTGTCTATGCTATTTTACTGCACTCCTCCATGTCGTTGGGTTTGTCACTTCTGTCAGGTGAGTAACGAATATTTTCTGTATGGAAACTTGCATTTAAAGTACAGCAGTTCTGTTGATTTGGGCGAGCAAAAGTTCTGTCTAAATCCGAAGTATCATGAGAGAAGGTTTACACTGAATCTCTTGTATGAACAATGTGTAACCTTTCCTTGGAATAAGTTGTCCCTGTATTACTGGTGCCAATAATCAATAATGCCTTGACTTTTTCTATGTTTAATTAAATGTTTTGTCTGCCTATTTCAAGGAATAATTACTTAATAATGCATTTAGTCTACTTACGGAAAAGTTGGGTCCTTATAAAGCCAGTTCTGTATTAGAGGTTAGAGCAGTTCATTCCAGTTGATGGCTGTCAAGTCCTCCTTTGGAAATTTTTTTTAATGTGTCTTTGAGGTGGTACCAAAGGGCCGTTGGCCATATCAGTACAATGAGGTTTTATAGTTTGAAAGTTAAAATAAATATTAGAATACAACCTAGAACTTATGCTGCTTATTTAATTGTGATTCCAGGCCAAACTATACATCAGCTTTTCTATAGTTTGTGCTTGCGTTCACGTCACGATTGTTCTTAGCTTTGTCTTGCTTGGGATAGGCGGGGGGGGAGAGTCCTGTGTTAGAATTGTTTTCTTTCCTCCAATGGAGGCAGTGTTAGGGATGGTCTGGTATTGCGTTTGGAGGTTTTGTGGGCTGTATCTTTAGAGAAAGAAGACTCATCTTTATTTACTAAAGAAAGATGTAGTTCTCAACGGAACTGATTGTAAAACCTGGCTTCTGGCTTAATAGATCGTTTCTGCAGTGTACAGCAGAGTGCAGTTGATTTTTTTTATATTTTTTTTTTTTTTTTTGTGACCAGATTAAATAAGGTAGCTATCAACTGCCGATGGAAGCCATTGCAGCCATGGGGTGAAGCTGAGTGCTCTTCTGTTTCATTCCAGCAGAGCTGCCAAAGGTCCCGCTTCAAGATCTGAAGCAAGTAAGCGATAAAGCACGGCTTGACTTTCAAATGCCTGGCTTAGTTTGGAGACCTTCAAGGTAGCTGGTTCTGAAATCACTGACACACAATGGGAGAACTCTGCTATTTCTGTGAGATCATTTTTCATGGTGGAGCAGACCTCTGCAGTGATTATTCACTCCTTATGTTAACGAACAGGAGTATTGCTTAATTCCTTAACTCGTGGCACTTTTCCGTACGCTGTAGCGTGGCTGGTTAATTTTATTATCCTTTACTTCCCAGAAATGATAAAACTGTTGAGAAATTCAATTTCTGCTAGCAACATACATTCATAAATAATTTATTTCATTTAAAAGACTTTATTTGAAATTATTACCAAAAGATGCGAGAACATTCTGTACAGGTCTGTTAGCACTGTGCTTCTAGACTGGGCTCTTTGCAAAAGTTGCTGGAGGCTTCCAACAATCAATCCCCTTTTAAATATGCTGAAAATCTCTCTATGGCTTTTAAGTGGAAGGTTTGGGTTTAGTTTCTTCTCTGCACTTCATGCAAGTTTTCCCACCTTATTTTCAGTACCCTGGTATGAAGTTGTTCCTGACTTAGTGTTTTGCTGTTGCCCCGAAGTACATGACATCTCAGCAGGACCACCTGGGATCTAGTTCCCTGTGTTTTAGCAAACACAGCACCGATTCTACAGCTGCGCTTTCCATCCTCATTTACTTTCTGGTTTGTTTCCTCTGTGTGATATGAGGGCATCTGCATGTCCACGGTGAAAGTAATTTGAGTTAAGTTCGGTTTCTGGTTTCAGAGGAGCCCTGCTGTAGAGTGCTGAGGGCAAAATGCCATTTCTTTCCAGTGCGTTCCTCCTAGTCACAGCTTCACTGGCCTCCTTTATTTTAGCGTATGTCTAAAAAAGCTTTATTGATTCAAATAACGAAGTGCTGGGAAGGGGGCAGACTGTCAGAATAGCATCTGGACTGTATCTGCAGTGACAGCTTCAGAAAAGGTGAGGGTGCGGAGGCAGGTTCCCCTTGGCCTGTATTTATTTCCATGCTCTGACCAGCTTCCCGAGGAGCAGCAGTTGGTCTTAGACTTTGCTCCTTCAAGTTATTTGTACTACCCTTGACCATGTTCAATCACCAAGCACAAGCACCGAGACACTCGCCCCTCCCGAGGGTTTTAGCACAAGGCTGGAAATGCCCATGGTGTCTTCCCTGTAAAAATAAGGGGTCTTACCCTGCTTCCTTTGAAAACAGCAAAACCCCTCGTGCCTTCAGTGGGAGCACGACGGGGGCCAAGAGTAGTATCCGAGCACCGTTTTGTACTGTAACAAAAATAGTCACTTCAACCCTTCCTTTATGCTGTTTGTCTTAAATGTCCAATAAATTAGAATCTGTATTATATGTAGGGACAGGTCAAATCTGTTCCTGCTCCCCAAACAGCCATTCCCCAGTATTAGAGTATTGCATACACTGTATAAAATCAAGCTGTGATTCTGCCTTCTTATAAACTCTTTAGTATTTTCATTTAGTCAAAAATATCTATCCAGATTTTTTAAATAGAAGCTTGAAATATTGAAAAAAATCTATTTTTTTAATTTGTTGGTTTGGATAGGGGTCAGCATTGTATGAAAACACTGGAGGGAGAAGGAGTTCAAGTGACACTGAGCCAGCCCTGCCACCAAAATCTGTATCCCCTTCCAAACACCACCTGAGGAGAAAAAGAAAAAAAAAAAAAAAGGATAGCTAAGAAAAAGCAAATTAATTTTTCTTTTCATTGCTTCTAAATACCTGTTAAAATACATCTTTATTTCTCATTTGTCTGTATGCAGGCTGAGCTTTCTTTTATATATATATATACACACACACACATACATATATTTGAAGTGCTGTCTTAATTTAATGGGGTATAGCTGTAAATAAGACAACTGGGTAGTAGCTGTTTGGGGAGTCCTGTTCAACTTTAGTAATTTATTGGCTACTGGGAGTCAAACGTGCAGAATCCTTTGTTAGGACAGAATCTGATTTCTTTTATTTTGCAGCTGTACTTGTAAATACAAAAAAAAAAAAGAGGACTGATTTAATGTCCAATTTAAAGTGTGCAGTTGCAAGCTCTCCCCATTTTTGTATGTACTATAGATTAGTGTGTGTGTGTCTGTCTTAACTGTAGTGGGGTTTTTGTCTGACAAGCCTGAAATTTATACTTTGAAATAAACTACTGGGTTTTTAACATTTTGAGTCATCTGTGCTTGGTTCCAGACATCTCAAGGGAACGACCCTTTCAGAAGGAGCCTGCTCTTCCTCTTCAGAAGTGCTGCCACCTGGAGGAGGGGACACCACAGGTGTTTCAGGTTGGCAGGTTTACTGCCACCTTGCTCCAGTAATGCTGAGCAGCAATGGTTTGGCT